ACGTAAAAATTCTCTAATTAGTCTGGAAACGGGGGACCTAATTCTTGCATTCTGTGAAAACGGGTAAGATTAGCTATAATGTAATTATCTTAATCTTCACTATCGTTACTTTTTGCCCAGCGAAGCGGGTCCTTGCAGCTAGATTCTAGATTACTTAGAAAAACAGTCTTTTATATATATAAAATAACTATATTACATACAAATGTACGAATGAATAAAAACCCAGCGAAGCGGGTCCTTGCAGCTAGTATTCAATAAAAACGGGGGTTGTCATTTAAAAAATTGATCCCGTTTTCACCGATTGTGGCGCCATCAGATTCAAACTTAACATTTTAGCAGGGCTGTGGAGTCGCGTAAAAATCTACCGACTCCAACTCCGACTCCGACTCTTCCTTACCATCCGACTCCAACTCCGACTCCGACTCTTCCTTACCATCCGACTCCAACTCCGACTCCGACTCTTCCTTACCATCCGACTCCTACTACGACTACGACTCCGGCTAAAACACCAAAACTCCACGACTCCGACTTCGACTCCGACTCCACAGCCTTGCATTTTAGTTAAGTTAAATGATTTTTTTCGCAGGATGCGTATTTTATGAGTTATTCCAGTAGATTAAAATAAACTGTATATATGAGAAATTTACGAAAAATTATTTAATTTTTCCAATTTGTAATCTTAAATCTTTAATTACTGAAATATCGATTTAATTCTGTAGAAATTACATTGAGAGCAAAGATCAAACAAATGTTCTTATTCAACAAGGGTTTTGGTCATCATATAATATTCCGTGAGTACTCTTTTATTTATAAAATATATTTAATTCGTTACATTAAATTCTCTATTTCTTGCAGTTATTATTCAAATATTTTTAATATGAGCGGACACCTAGAAAAAGTAAAAATGTATGGTGATTATTTTACATATGACAAAGCTCCGAGGGCGTTAATTTTCAAAAGAGATCAAGGAAAAGTTACTGATTTAAATAGTATGATGAAAATGATGAGGTCAGTTGTAGTAAGTTAAATAAGAAATTAAATAATATTAAGTTACTTGAATTTTAATTACAATAATTTCATACGAATTTTATTTTATTGTATTTAAGATATAATGATTTCAAAAATGACCCGCTTTCTCGTTGCAATTGTACTCCTCCATACAGTGCAAACAATGCGATTGCTTCACGTATGGATTTGAACCCTGAAAATGGCACATATCTTTGTCCTTTTTTACGCAACGCAGCTTTTGGAGCAATAGATATGAAGGTACTGTATATCTTTATTTACAATAACAACAATAACAATAACTAATATGTAAATACTTGAAAATTATTTATACTTTAAGAATAAACACAGTGTTCACAAATATATAATGTTTAGAAACAATTGGTGAAAATTTTCTTTAATTCATAGGCTTTAAGTTTTATTTTACGTAACTTAAAATTATTCTTCTATAGTTAATTTATTTCTGACTAAATGCTTTTGTAACGTTGATTGTTGCACATTTAAGTAGCAAATTATAAAGCTATTTTCTTATAATAATAAAACTGTATAACTTACAAGTTAGTGATATTTCTGTAAGTGCAATAGATGAATATTCTTCTATCTTAAGGCTGATTGTGGCCTCTTTGGTTATGCACGCGATCTCCATCAGATGACATTTTGCCAATAGAAAAGGTTTTATATGGAAAAAACTTTTTCCAAGGCTTCCGGGACTCAGGGGAAGAGCTTTTCCTTGAAGTAGGTTCTTTGTCTCCGATTACAGCGGATTTTTAGTTTTTAAAGTTTTAAGCTTGATTTTAAGCCATAGAAATAAATATCGTTATATCAGCATCATTATATTTTATGAAGAATAATTTTCCGGTTTGGGATGACATAAATATCAAAATATATATTCAGTATATTCATTCAATGGTCACAAAATAATGGTTATTTATTCGTTCGTTTTCGATTTTCAAAGTTTCTTCAGTAAAACATTTTAATAAATAATTATTTATTTACAAAAATATCAGGGCGGATGTAAGCATTATACGTAAAAAATATATTACTGCAATTATTGGAAAAAGAATCTTTGACCGCTCAGAAATATTTAAAATAAAATAATATTGCCAATTTAGCATCACATATTAAATATGAAGAGCATCTCTTCTGCATTAGACTTAGTTTCTTCTATATTTTTAGAAGAAACTAAGTCGTCTATAGCTCTGTCTTGTTTAATCACCAGGAACGAAACACTCTTTCTTCTCAGAGACGACCTTTTATTAGAGACTATCTCTCTGCAATATTATATAAAACAGTTAAAACGGTTACTGATGATAAGCCATTAATTTAAAAAACTACACAGTTTTAATTACAGTTAAAATGGCAGAGGATATTTTTACACAGTTTTAAAATATAGAAGAAAACAATCCTGGTGATTGAACAATACGGAACTGAAGAAGTCTTAGTTTCACTATATCTTTAAATTATGTGAAAATACAGTCTAACATTTTAACTGTAAGGGAATACTCTTATTTAATTTTTTTCTATGGTTGTCAAATTAGTTCACTATTTATTTTCGTTTCTGAAATTTCGTATTTCCGAAATTTCAGAAACGAAATATATTTTTATATTTTTATTTTCTTTTATGTATTTTTACTAAATATAGCTAGTTAATTAATGTCGGCTTATTTATAGCATTAGATTACGAGTACAGTATCTTAAATTAACATTCAGTTTAATTATTTTCAGTTGACGAACTATTCGATGCAAAAGAATTATCAGTTTATCGCTTATTCTGGGCCAACATACGATCAACAACCGGTTTTCAAATGGAGCACCAGTATATATTCAGACATCCCTCATTCTGGTCATCCCGACGAATGGAACTTTAAGCCTGTTCTTCATCATTGGTTAAATGTGTAACGTTTACTTAAACAAGCAGTCTTTGACTTTCGGATATTCGTGTTTGGGATAATTCTCTCTTTCGCACATAATAATTTAATACCCTAAAGCATGAGTCTCACGCGATGCTAGACATTGATGTTTGAAGGTCGAGTTAGGTACAGTATATTCGCCATCTTGTTCACGCAAAACTACAGGAAAGACGAACGTTAGCATGAAATCTATCTCGTAAGCTTTTCCACTTCTGCTATTCTTTCATTTATTAACAAACTAAGAAAAGTTTTAGTGTTTAATTTTATTGACAGTAGCCTCTACAAATCTACTGACACTAGCTTTTACATCAGGAACTAATGTATCTCGATAAACAATCTCTCTAAAGTTTGATTTGTTCTATTGAAGTTTGCTCTTTGGCAGCATGTACGAATAAGTTCGATATTTATATTTTACGTTATGAAGTTCAGAGTGTTTATTATTTGTCTAAATTATCTTTTATCATTCCTTAACAAATATTATTTAAAATCAAAAAATTCGCCCTTTTTATTGCTTTTGGCCCATAAAATATTAGCTTTGTTATCAATTAAAATTACAATTAAACTCATAATTACAAGCTTAATAATCTCATAATTTTTGGCCCTTTAAATTACTATTTTATATTATATTGGCCAAGATGCTAGATTTCTTTGAAGGTTTAATATCTTCAGAAAATCTAGCAGTTTGTCTACAGAGAAAATTAATCTTATTTCTGATTTAGCCTATCTTCAAATATAAGTCCCAGATGTTTGTTATTGTCTTTAATTTTTATTTTATTATTATCGATGTGAATGTAGATAACGACGCCTAAATAAATGAGAAAACTTTGACCAATCATTTTTTCACTCGAAGTAAAAAAGATAATATATATTAAGAACCGGTTAAAGCAAATGCAGTTCCAATTGCGGAACCCACATTAGTGGCCGCATGGATAAAACCACAGAACACTGTTGATCGTGGTTAGAATCTCGACAACTTCTGGCTACATGGAGTTTTCCGGGTTTTCTTCACATTAGTAACACTTAAAGGCCAGTTTGCCATAAAAGACCTCCCGGGACACATCCCCCTCGACAGATCGTCTATGAGTCGCGTTTCTGTATACTAATAAAACAAACCAATTTAATTGTTTCTGTTTTAATATTGTGTCCTGATTTTCTATGGATCTTAGTGCCAACAGAGCGGAGAGTTAAAAAAAACGTTTCCCAGCTGTCGAAACATTCTATTGGGTTTTTTTTTTCCGGGGGAATCTGACATTTGTACATATTCCACTTACTATAGCACATTTGACTTCAATTTTTCTAATGCAAAACTACGAATAATTACATGGTTTACAACATTCTCATATACGCAAGTCGCTAATTCTTCATGGGCTTTATTCACACCGAAAAACAGTCTTGTTTAAAAACTTTAATTCTTTATTTTGCTCTAAATTTTGTTCGATACATCACTGCAATTCGACCACATAGACGCACATAGATGCTATTCCGTCCGAGCAAATATGAACTTATTTTTAATAATAGTAAGTATGCTAAATTCTCAATTTTCTACACTTTTTCAAACGACAAACAAAAATTTAGCTGATATTGTGCTGTGACCGCTTTCTGCCAGTTTTGGTAAGACAAAAATCATTCGTTATCATTCGTTTAATCATCGTTTCTGTTTAAGTTAATAATTTTAACGTTCTATACGATATTTTTATGAACTTTAATATATTAATTCTAAAACAAATAAAGCCTTTCAATTTTAATAAGAGATTTTATATTTTTCATCTTCCTAGGAACAGAATCCCCTTTATACTATGCAATTGCATTTTTCGGCCTTTGAGCATCTGACTTTCATTTACATTTTTAGAAATGAATTACATGTACAGTATATCCGAAAGTTGGGAACTGTCTATATCAGGATATATTAGACATTTAATATGAAAAATATACCTATTTTTGATTTCGGATTTATGTAAGTGATTATATTATATGTATAATACTATTTACATGACTGCATTTATAAATATAGATATGTATGAAAAATTTATTGTATTATTTACATTATACCAAGACGTTCAAGAATAAATTTATTATACGGAAGTTTATCCAATTAAGTTGTATTTTATAATATATTAATTCCATAATATTGTTTTTTAAGGCAAAAAATGCCTTAGGGTATACAAAATCAACACCGCATAGAGGTATGTCTAAACATAAAACAGAAATGTAACATCTGATGAGGGATGCAAGGTACACAAAATATTGCACCCGAAATGCATAGTGAATAAAAAATAACGAAGATAACACTCAGAAGTTTTTGTCTCTAATAAAATGCGGTCCAGATAAAAAAAGTCGGTTAACTTCTTTGGATCTAACCTATGATGTTTCATCAATTTTTTGAAGAAATAATTTTTTAAAAAATTGACGTTCAAAAGAATATATAAAAAACCGCACCATTGATATAATACATATTTACTATTTATATTACATAATTATTATGTAAAACAGTTTCGAATGGAGAAATGTAGTAAAACAATTAAATTTGTTACCTTTAAAAAAGGATGCTATCTGGAATCATTTCTTTACATTTATATACTCAAGTAATAAATTCCTAAAAAGATGGATGTGAAAGACAAGTCCTTCTAGTAGAGGTGTAGAGGCGAGAAAATTTCACGTCTTCGGCAAAACTTAAAAAGTTCCTTTATACATACATGAAAAGTAAAACGCTTCTTGATATATATATATATATATAGGTATATATATCAAATTTTTCCAGGTATGTATATTAAAATTTTATAGGCGTATATATATGTTACTGCAAAAGACCGAAATTAGAGAATGTCGATATTCTCCGGTGAATGTCGACACATACAAAATACGTCGGTGAAAGACCGAATATTTGGTTATATTATTATACATTCGAACAATCGCCAGTATATGTCCACAAGCACAGATAAGCTTTGATTGACACCCGAGAAGCCGATGCCGACAGAGAGGCGACAGACTCGCCAAATCCTTTGTGGGTAGCCGGAGGTAGGACAAGGTCGTACCTCTTTACCCGGCAGCAGTTTGGTGGAACCCGCCCACTTGTCACTGGATGGCGTTTTTGTTCGTTTGATCCCGTGAGGTGGGGATCGGTTTGTCAGGTCGAGTGGCAGAGGATGAGAGAGGTCGTCAGTAAGGCGTCGGCGATATCCGAATAAAAGACATCATTAACAGATCAATTCGTAATCACGTAATAACGTAATCAGTTCGTAATTTGTCAAGAAAAGTTACTTTCCATAGATGAGCAACTGCAGCTAATTCGAAAAGTGGAGGACAAGGCTATACACGCTGTCATTGCAAAAAGAAGTGTTCCACGAATGAATGCAGTTGTAAAAGCAAGGGACTCTTGTGCAATTCAAAGTGCCATAACAATTTAAGTTGTTGCAATAAATAAGATTTTATAACTTTAATCACATTTTATAACTTTAATATATGTGAGAGTTTCTATTGCGTATTATTTGTCTTTTCTGATTAAGAATGTATTGTTCGTTTTAGGTTAAACAGTTTATTTACATGCGCTGTTACTTAAACCTATATAAGTCCTATTTTGACATATTAAAACGTTGCATTTTTTTGTCTTAACGTAATAAAATTATTTTTATTCAACAGTTACCTTCAGCGCATGTTGAATGTCGACATTTGCCGGTGTAAGTGAGAAATGATGATATTTAGCAAATATTTCGTACATACACGAAACGACTGTGTGAATACTGACATTCACCGGAGAATGTTGACATTCGCCAGATATCGGTCATTCACAGTAACATATATAGGCCTATTAAACTCTTTTCTATATTAAATATAATTATTGTTGATTTAATAAATAAAATAAAAAGTATTTGTACTGTCGATTAATTAGCACCTATGGACGAGGCCATATTGATCACATATTTGTTATGTCGCTGCCTTTTTCTGTACATTGAATTAAAATCAAATCAAATTTTCTTATGGAATAATACGAAGAATATATAAAAGAAGTTGTGTAAATAATACGTATTTTTATGTGGAATAATGTTGAGAATATGCAAAGAAAATGAATATGTATGCGGCAATATCAAATTGAGCGTATAAAATTGAGTCAATAAAATATGACGATTTTCTAATCAGATGATAATTCCATTACTGCTATAATAAGTCTGGTATTACAGGCGGATGGTGATAACCCTTAATGAAACTGAAAACGTAATTTTATGTGTATTTTAATTTATTGAAGAATTGGTGTATAATTAATACGCAAATAATGACTTAGTAAATGCAGTATTTTGTTTAGGAGTAACTGTGTACTCTTCTAACATACATTAACAATATATTCAAGAATTGGTGTATAATTAATACGCAAATAATGACTTAGTAAATACAGTATTTTGTTTAAGAGTAACTGTGTACTCTTCTCACATACATTAACAATATATTCATAAAATAAAAAAAATATAATTGTATTTCGTATTAACATGAAAATATAGAAATATAAGAGTTCAAAATAAAATTTTTATTATCATTTATAATAGAGACGAAGATCATATAAGATTTTAAATTCAACCATAATTTTGCTTTCTATTGTTTTTCTTGATTATAAAACATTAATTTTGAACTGCTGGTAAATTGAAAATCATTCCAGATTTCTGGCAACAAAATCCAATACTATCCTCTCGTATTGATCTGGATAATATCTGTAGTGGCATACGTGAGGAGTCTGATCCCATCTGTAAAAATCGACAATGACGTCTCTATCCTTGCGATGCGCTATAAAGTTTTGTATGCTCTTAAAATCGCACACATCGTCATCTCTTGAAAAGAGGAAAAGCTGAGGACAGATATTTGGTTCGTGTATTAAACTGTGCCAAACGCTTTGCCTTCGTAAAGTTTCTTCATTGTCTATGAAATAACTTAGAATCCAGTTGTAAAGATATATTACATATAAACGTAAAAATATGGCAATCGCATGAATATATCTCGTATAGGTTTCAGTTGGAATCATTGTCGATAACATACGGCACACATAAGATAATTTAACTTCTGCCGGACCACTATCAAAAATACAGCCTCTGATCTAAAACATTTAAACATTTTAAGTATAAATTAAGATAATTAATAATCTAATGTTATTAATTTGAACACTTACGTTGTATATTTCGTTTCTTTTTAATAAAACGTCTCTAATGAGATCGTACATTAAAGCTCCTCCATTACTGAAGCAATGAAAAAATAACGGTTTTTCAATCAGTTCCATTTCTTCCAGCAAATTCACGAGTTTCTTGGCGTTAGTTGTTAATATTTTCCGAGAGTTTGTAGAAATTAACATATCCGATGGTGCGATATACATTAAAGTGGTACAGCTATATTAAATAAAAAGAATTATTAAATAATTTCTATTTTCAAGTAAAACTTGATTCAAAAACCAAACTAAACATCATAATTAATAAATATACTGCAAGCAAGAATTTTAGAATCTTACCCTTGTTTTCCATAGATAGAACTGTATTTGGAGAGATGACGTTCTTTGCATCCTCCCCAGCCAAGCAAAACGACAACTGGTTCTTCTTGAAGGATTATATCATATTTAGCTTTAAATTTTTTGCTAGTTCGACTGGAATCTACATTAGAGAATGCAACACTGCTGGAAAATCGCGCATCATATTTGGAACTGTCTGCCATTTTGATAAATTGATTTAACAAGACAAATTATTGTTTCATAAACAATGTCATTTATAACAATATTATGCGAATAATAAACTTTTATACTTATGTTACATAAATATTCATTGTTGCATGTATTAAAAAATTATATTTACAAAATTTAATGGCGAGTAAAGTAAAAAGAAATAATGAATGTCTTATGAAAAATTAAATTAAAGTTGTCCTACATTTTAATTTTATATAAGTATAATTTGAGTTAAGTAATTTAGTATATTATATTTTTTTGACAAAAGGCTTCTGTAATAATATAAATACTCTTAATAAATATAAGCCTATAAGGAATAAATAAACCGATAGAACATGAAAATAAATACGAATGAAATAATGATGATCTAAATTCAAGTGGATTTACATGCAAATATACGATATATTAAAAGAATCAGACAATTTAAAGTTGATGAAGTTGAAAAATTATCAGTAATTCCTAGCGATAATTAGAAAAATAAGTAATTACACATATTGAAACATTGAGATAACTTTTAGAAAGTTAAAAAATATCTAGCAACATGTTACGTAACTTTCCCGGCTGTTATAAGATTTTATTTAAAAACTTTCTAAATTATTATAAAATGGCGAAAGACTTAATTTTGAGGGTAGAGATGAGTTTTATTTATTTATTTTTTAATTGTAAACGCTAATTACAAGTGAAAACCCTCTGTCTTTTCATCCCCTCCACCTTTCACAACCAAAATGTAATAGTATCAATGCTCCTTATATAAACGCTACCGTGTCAAATTTTGTTTTTTAATCTTTATTCCATTCTGATATATTTTAAACGAAATAGACGCCAACGCAAATACACATACACACCTATCCATAGAAATTTTTTTTTGCCTTTTTTTTTGGTTTAGGAGGTGGAAATGTGTAAAAATTTGAAGGGTGAAATTTGACACGATACAATACTTTTCTTTATTATGTATACATAACCCCGATAAAGTAAAACGTCTAAGAACTTATCCCTTCGTTGCTAGATCGTTTTTACATCTATATTGATATTTTAAATTTCAATTTTCTGGCATTAATGTGTTGAGGACAGTGCAAAAAACACGTTTTTGTTTAAATTTGTTTACAAGATGTGCATAACGAAGAGACAAGAGAAAAATGTGTACCAAAAAATGAAAACTTTCTAGAAAGTTGAACAACTCAGCATTTTACAGGAATATACCTACATGCAGCGGCACCTGCAGACTATGAAAGAGGGATGGGCACAAGCTATAAAAAGAGCATCGTACACTGTGGCGCACCCAGGGGGACCAAGGGGACCTGGCCCCTCTAAAGAAAAAGGAAATCAAACAGTAGAAAAGTTTCCAAAGATCTTTTCCTAGTTAAATTTTTTTTCTTTTTTTTGTTTATACTCTCTGGTAACTTCTCTTTCTATACTATTTATAAATTAGCAGTCGCGTAAGGTGAGAATTTTATTGAATTTGTATTAGAATTTTTTTTAATCCGTTCAACTCGGCCCTCTGAATAGTGAATCCTTACTGCGCCACTGATCGTACCTATATATATATAGGTATTCCGTGATTAATGCAGTTAATTAATCCCTCGATGCTTCTGCGTATATCAAAATCGCGTTAATCAAACACAGTGGTACCTCGGTACTCGACCGAACAATCACGACCCACTAGAACAAATATTCGGTTAATAACAAATATTTTTACTTTGTCATCAGTAAAAAGTTTTCTGTGATAAAAATGAGTAACTAATTTAAAAATAAAATGAAACTTTATAGCACGCTTGAAGGTTAAGAAAAGGGCAACCCGACGACAAAGAAAGGGCACGTGCCCCAAATGTAGGACACATCGTACCCCAAATAAGGACACATGTAGTACTCCAAACAAGGACACATGTAGTCAGGGGCACCCGTATGGGTGCCCCTGACTACATGTGTCCTTATTTGATAAATAAAAATATATGTAGATATGTAGTATTTGATTATTTATTCTATAGACACAAATTTTATCATGTTTCATTATAATCTATATATTGGATTTGTTTCATCTTATTATATAGGTTCATATATTGCACTTAAAAAGCGTTTGTTTTCGGACTTTAAAATTTATTCTGCTGCAACAAGAGAATTAAACATTATAACTGCATAAGATTTTCACACGAGCTTAATAAACATGCTAACAAGTGCATGACTTTACAAAGAATTTCCAATAGAATTTACCGTGGACATTTTCATTTGTTTTTGATAAAACTAAAACTACAAAAATTTAAAATCGGAAAACTTTCATGACTGTTTTAAATTTTCAATTTATAGGATATTACAGCAAATTAATATAAAAAATTATAAAAATTTTCTCATAAACACAACTAAAGCATTAATATTATCTATTCGAAATATTTTCTTTGTTTATAGCTGTAGAAACAATCTTCATTGAATGTACTAAAACAGAGATTCCTAATCGGTGGTAAACGTACCCCTAGGGCTGCACGCTTGGTGGTTTAGCGGTACACGAAAAAAATTAATAATGGCGGATATATTATAAGAATGTTGGGATTCTGCGTCGAGGCCTTTGACGACGTCATGGTACTCGATGCTTAGTTTTAAATAAAAATATAATTATATTTTTATTATTCTCTTCTTCTTATATTTTGATTTATCTCTGTCCTTCTTCTAACGCTTTTCGATTAAAAAAAACCAAAAAAAAATATTTTTTACATGTAATTATACAGCGCTGTATAATTGATCAAGGTGTTTCACTAACAATCGAAATAAAACTTAGGAAAATGGACTGTCAAGGGACTACAATGGACTCAAGTCAAAAAAGATTGGGAACCACTGTCCTTAAACATAAGAAAGTTTGGATTTTAATATCTCAATGACAAACATTTGGAGCTAATTTTATTTGAGTTTTGTAGAAAAATCAGAATTACTTTGACAAGTTTACAAGCTGAAGATGGAAATCTAATAGATATAAGACTTAGCATTAAACTGGATATTCGATATAACCTATAATAAAATGATTATGAGTAATTAAAGTATCCAATTAATTTTGAATTGAAATTTTGAATCTTGCGTTCAAATATAATAATAAAAGTAAAGATATTTGAATAATCGAAAAATTCTGATACAATACGTGTAAAATTCTTCAAAAATTTAAGAATGAATGAGATAATACTATGAGATTAAAATTAACAATAAAGATAATTTGATGAAATATACTGAATTTTTAATTTATAAATAAACTTTCCTTTCCCAATTTGCTTTATTTCGAAACAACCTTTGTACAGATCAGTGTTTTCATTTTCTGTTTTTATGTAATGACTAAAATTAAACAAATATCTTTAAAATTTAGCACCATTACTAGACTAACATCATTACACAGACTATAAAAATTCAATATTTTAATATATTAATACATAAATAAGAAAAAGATATTTAATACAATTTTTTCGACCAGAAGAAACGTAGAGAACACTTTACGCTAATTATATATAAGATATCGATTTTTATTTAATTTATTTGAATTTTATAAGACAGAATCTAAGTTATAAATCCAAAATTATTAATTGTTTTCACGTGACGAAAACTGATAATTCAAATACATAGTCCAGACACTTGTTTATCCATTTATCAATAGGTGACTCCTGATAAGCACTAGTCTGTAAAATATCTTTATATAAATTATATATCTTTTAATGGATAAAATGAAATTAGTATTGTTTTTAGGATTGCTACCTTTATATGTATCGTGTTTTCATGAGAAAAATGCATCAGTTATTTGGGATGTAGAAAAAAATAAATTTCTTATAAAAAATTCCATTGTACATTCCTCGTGTGTGGCATGGGGCAGTTTACAAGATGATATATCCAACAGCGGGTAAGTAGACTTCAGAGCCGTTAATTACGAATATATTTTCTATATTTCAATATACTGTATGTGTAAATCTAATCCTATTAGTTTACAGTATTCGAGTTTCATCGTATGAAATATAGATATTTAATGATTTATGTTTTTAAATTTTATTTTAGGATTGACTTTATCTTATATATATTTAATGGAGACTGAATTATATAATGATATAATCGATGTCATAAATTAGTAAACCGAGTTGTTTTGATTATATCATTGATATTTTTATAATTAGTGTTTTACTCCTTTCATACAGGCTACTACAGAATACAAAGGTAAAAGTCTTTGTCTTCAGAATTAAAAAAAATCAATTAGTAAATATAAATGGTTCAAAAATGAGTTTATTTCGTTTATTGAGAAATGAAACTTTGAAACTTTTTCTTTCATTGCTTAAGTGAACAAGAATCGATACAAAAGAACATTTAAACGACTCTAAGGTCGAAGGAGTAAAATTATAAACACTAATTATTTAAATATAAAGTACAATTAAACTATATTTAAATAAATATATATACACATATATATATAGACTATATAGAAACTACATTTAAATGTAAAAATTAAAATTATAAACACTAAATATAAAAAACTAATGGCTTTCCTCAATCTGTTCTCAATCAATTAGTTTATGATTAAGATTCCAGTTAGAAGACTACAACGCAATGTGATCAAGTCTATCACCACGTATCATGAGAAAAAATGAGTTATTAAACATATACATCGATGTATATGTTTAATAACTGTCTATTAATCTGAATAATTCACGTTTTGCTTAATTGCAAAATGAGATAGTTTCTTCAAATTCCCTATTCAAACTTTCTTTTTTGAAATATTTTATATTTACACTGTCGTTCAAACGAAATATTTTGCTACAAATCCAGAATAATAATATCTACAACTTTTATTTTATAACTTATTATGTAAGAAAAAAATAATGTAAACAGAGAGTAAAAATTTTAATTTATATACTCTTTAAACGTTTGCTTAAATTTAAATCTTATTTGCTCAATCAGTATATTATCGTTCATTTAAATCAAAGATCTGAATCAATGCTTCGGTTTTATTTAGACAGTATCACAGTTTTCATTGTTTAGATCCCAAATCACTTTAAGATCACCACTTCATCCTAATGTGATTTGAGATCTAAACAAATTAATTTAGAATTTTCTACTTCATCTCCGTGCTCCAGGTATTATGATAATTTCTCCGAGTTGCACTAATTTTTAACCATTATCAAATGAAATAATAAAACTAAATGAAATCCGAACATTCTATTCCAAGTGTTTGCTGCTAGAGTTAGCTCAGTTTCCATCAAAGCTTAAGCTAGTGTTTAAAAAACCTTTTTTATTATTTAATTATTCACGCATTTTCTTTTTTTAAATTCCATAAAATTAAAATTAAAATAGTTAATAAATAGTAACTAAATATTTACATATTAATCGCAAGAGTACCATGTATTTACATATTAATCGCAAGAGTACCATGTATTTACATATTAATCGCAAGAGTACCATGTATTTACATATACCAATAGTATTTGGTGCTTAATGACCTATTAAAAATATAATTATCATTATTATTGGGCTGTAAGTTGAAAAAATTGTAGACCTATAAATTGCACTCTCGTTTGTCTGTTGTCTGTGTGTCTGTTCTTCCTTAATCTCTAGAATGAAGTTAGATAGATGAAAGTCGAGACCAGATGTGGAAAGCTTGGGGTATGGGGCTCCGATTAACTATGCACAAACGTCTGGGAAACCAAAAATTACGTTATTTCAATTTAAAAATTTCCCCCCGAAAGGTATTAGGTAGGTCTCAGTTGTTAATTTAACAAGAAAAGTATGACGTGCAGGGGCAAGACATTACTAATTTGAGGTGGAGAGTGTATATTTTAAAGGAAATTAATTAAAAATATGATTAAAAATTGCAGCCCGGCATTGTGACGATGTTACCTAAATAATTTCTCCTCATTAGTTTAATTTGTATTAAATTTTCAAATTAAAGCTATTTTGAAATAAGCCAATTATGTAACTTATAAAAAACGCAATATTATTTAATTTCTTTTTAAAAGAAATAATGGCAAAATGCACTTTATAACAATTGGCTTTGAGAATAGATCTACTTTAAAAAAAGCTTCCCTTAATTAAATACTGTGCACCGCTTAGTGGCATGCTGTTTTGAATATTTTATTTTAAAATATTCATAGTAAAGGCAAATTTTAATCTGTAGCACAAACGTTCATATCTTAAGAAATCTCAAACATTTCAGAAAAGGTGATTGATTTCAAATTAAAACCAATATTAGCAAATTACACGGTAAAAAAGTATTAATTGTAAGTTAATTAATTACAAAGCTTGATAAGTCTTTCTGTTTTCTTCCAATTTAATAACATTTTTCTTCATGGAAATATGTTAAAATGAAGCGAAACCAATTTAAAAATGATAAATCTTTCATATGATTTTATATAAATCTGAGATGCTTTCAAAGCATTATTTCTTCTTTAGAGATTTTTCTCTAATTGTAAACCAGAGGAGACGATAATTATTTTTTGAGTTAGCTTATTAAATATTGCAGATGGTCGTATTTGGAAGTTCACACCAATCCATCGTATTCGGATTCTTTCCAAGCTTATGCCGCAGGTTTGGTCGAAGGATATTTAACAGCTGATCTCATCTCTAAACACTGGAACAATTTGTATCTAAATTATTGCAAAAACGAAAAAGAATACTGCGATAAACTTAAAAGATTTTTAGAAACAAACATGGATTTCATGAATAAAAATATTCAGGAAAACAAAACTTCCTACTGGAAACACGTGAGTAAATTTCAATATTTGTTATAACCATATAATTTCATAACAGCGACATTTCAGGTTGCATTAGTACTAGAACAAGTGAAAGGTTTGCAAGATGGATATAAAGGAACTCCATCCTTACCTGATACCAGACCAGATATCATGGGAGTAATGTAAGTTTGTTTCCAGAAATCAAACAATTTATTGACAATAACTTGATAAATTTTAAAGAAATTTTATAAGACACGATTTACGTTAAGAAGTCGTCTACAATAATTTTATAAACGTTTAACGTTAAGATACATATTTTCAAATCTAGTAATGACGTGCATAAATTGTACAGTTATAATATACAGTATTTATATTTTACAGTAACTGTTTGAATTTTTCAATATTATTATGTTAATATTAGACTAAATTTGTGAAAGTACATTTAATTTATAAATTGCCTTTTTAAATTCTGTCTAATCGAAAAATCAACAATTTTTGCTATTTTCTTTATTGATTTAAATAAAGCTTTTGACTCTGTGGAATTAAACGTTTTAAAATATAAATTATATAACAGGCACTAAGAGATAAATTTCTCAAGTTGATAATTTCAGAATTAATAGAACGTACTGTACAAAATACCTACAGTAGGTCTGTGTATCGGTGAAAATTTCACTTTTAACATATACACTATATTAATTGTTTAGTCAATGCACTTTACTTGCCTCGTTACTGGAGTACTAAATATTTTTAAAAATATTTACAGCCTTTTATTATATAGCGTCTGTATAGTGGAACCTAAGCTGAATTGTGACATTATTATATGGGAGTTATGCACTCCGATATATCGTATATAAGTTTCGGATTATGAAAAATAATTCTTTGCGTTCATATTTGAATGTAGACAGGTTTGCATTCATCTCGCCTTACTTATATCAGGTGAAACTTGTACAATACAATGATACATCAAACAGATAATCTTAATGTTTTCAGTATTGGCTTCAAGGAATTAGTAACAGTAATAATAATCCCAATTTATATCACACAATTAAATGAAAAAAATTAGAATTCAAATAGGCGAAAAATTATAATTTTACCAAAGGATAAATTTGGCAATTGCACATGTTCAAGTGTCTATTCGTTTGCTAAAGTATGAAATCATATATTGCCAGAAATGAAGGAAACAAACAGAAAAATGCATTTGATCGAAATTAGCTCTAAAAGATTTCATTAAAAATAATTTTATTAATTTTAAATGAATTTACTATATATATTTTAGTTCGGTTTTTTAGTGAATTTTTGTGCTTTGTAATATTGTATTTTGTATTTCGTTTTTTTTTTGTTTTTCTTTTCGTATTTTCGTAAGAGGCCTTGCAATAGAAGTTAAAGACTAAAAATTATTTTAAAAATAAACAATCAAAATTGGGAGTATAATTCACAGAATTTCGCGTGCAATATAAGATATAACTTTTATGAAAATGGTATACTTAAGATATTTTTATAAAATATATATTCATTTATTTTTATAGTCATAGTAGATATAGTAATAAAACAACAGCTAAAATGTTTCTGTATTATGTTTTAATATTGATATTTCGAAGTTTCGTATTAGTAAAATACTGTACAATATTACTAATTCTATTAGAATATTTCTAAGATTTACTTTATTTTGTTGCAATTTATCAAACTTATTAGGCCTACAACATTAATGCGATCAAAAACATATTTTTCAAGCTACTTTACTAACCCATTATTGTCCACACAAACTATTTTGATTACATTTAGGCTCAACATTAACTGAAAGTTCGACCTTATTTTCGCTTCATAAAGAATGTACTTTGCCGAATTTTTCCGTGGCAATACAAGAATGTTTAAAAGTATCAGAAATTAAATATCATTTACATTTACAGAATAATTTTTGTGCCCTTTAAACATTTAAATTATACAAAAATTATTTATAAATGTATATGATATTTAATTCAATAAAAACTTAATCTGTTATTTCTAAGATTTTAAAATTATAATTGAAAAAATTAATTAATTTTTCTATTTATGAAGATAATTATTTATTTATTGAAATATAATAAATACTGTATTGCAATAAAGAATATACTAGATATCACATTGATATCTCGTAGTTTAAATTATTTATTATTTTGTAATTTTACACAGAAAATGTCAAGATAAAATATTAATATTGTAGTATTATCTGTTAAATAGTTGTGTTTGATAATTGTACAAACAATATTATCCGATAAAATTATCTGGAGAAGTTTTAAAGAAGCATCAGTTTATTTACAAAAATTTATTTTTTTTAGGTTATTCAATCTCTTTGGTGATCTATTGGATCTCGAAATTATATTAAATAAGACCGATCGAAGTCATATTATCGATAATGATCATTGTTCCGCTTTAATTAAATTCTTGCCAGGATATAAAGATTTGTATGTAGCTCATGACACTTGGAATAATTATACGACAATGTTGCGCATTCTTAAGAAATATGTTATGCCTTTAAGGATTAATACCACTGAAAGTTAGTATTTTCGAAAAAACAATAAACTATTAATATAAGCTTACTTTAGAATTATTTTTCTAAATAATTTGTAGATAGAAAAATAATACCCGGACATACGACTAGTTTCTCCTCTTATCCTGGATGTATTTTTTCTGGAGACGACTTTTATATCATATCCTCTGGACTGGTAAGCCTTATTATATGAGAAGCTTTCCTATATTATCTATATTGTATTAGTTATAATTTAAAATGTAGGTAGCATTGGAAACTTCAATCACAAATACAAACACCAGTTCATTTCAATATGTAAAACCAGATCGTGTGGTGTTAGAATGGATTCGTAGTATTGTGGCTAACAGATTGGCTACTGGAGGAAGAAATTGGGCTTCCATTTTCAGTTTATTTAATAGTGGAACGTGAGAATTGGTTGTACATATTCTTTTTTTTTGTCAATTTTTAAAGTATGAATTATGAGTATTATTTAACTGTTTAGATATAATAATCAATGGATGATTGTAGATTATAAAAAGTTTGTTCCCAATAATAAACCCGAGAGTGAGTTACTATGGATTTTGGAACAATTGCCGTAAGTTTAATTTTATGATAATTCTTACAGCGATGTTTTTAAAAAGTACAGTTTATGATGAAAGGTTGTTGTATGTACTGTACACGTGGATTAGTTATAAGTAAATAAGTTAAATATGCATTTCTCTCATTGAACTTTAAAACATTTGTTTTTTTTTACACCAAAATTTTTTAAAGTAAACTAAATATTTTATTTATATTAATTTCTTTACATTATATTTTAAACTTTGATTTTAAAAGTTGAATTAGGCATTTTTCTACAGAGTCTTCTATGCGAGAAAAACTAGAATGAATATTGATTAACAAACGAAGAAAATTTGATACCTAATTTGGAAACAAACATTTCTGAAAGTTTAGAACGAAGATTTGTTAAAATTTGATACAGTGCTTTATCAATTTATTCTATATAATCAGTTTAAATCAGCAAGAAAACAAAATAAACTTTCTTTATGTTCGTTAAAAATTATCTTCAAACTGTTCTTGCTCTTTCTATGTTTATTAAAATTCTCTATGCAGAGCGTACTCAAAGAATTCGTTTTATTATGCTGTTACTTATATATCAAAGAATGTTTTCTATATGGCTATTATTTGACTAAATGCATATAGACCTACAATTGCATGTTAACACGTCTGATGTTTCGCGGACACATAAACACCCCCCACACACATACACTCTCTGGCCGTCGGCTGTCCTGTAGGTCCGAAATGACTGTAAGTCCTTAAACATAAGTTCCTCCTTGAGCATCACAGAGACACAGCAGTCGAGCCTCTCTAAGGGCTCCACAGGGAGTTCCTCACCCCCCAAGAGCACATGGTCTACACCACCTCAAACCGACCCTCGGCGTATTGCACCACACGCTCCTTGCCAAGATCAACACCATGCTTCCCGTCTACAACACTCAGCACGTCCACACGTCGGTACAAGCATACACCCCTGAAGCTCTCGTCAAATATAAACCCACGGCCCTGCGACTTGTAGATGTACAGTACAGTACTTCATGCTCTTCACACGGCGCCGTAGCGGAACGCTAAATGCGGGCAGCTTCAACATGAAAAAGCGCTTAGCATAGTATGTGTTCGGGCGCAGCGCATGTCTGTCCTTGGATCTGTTTATAAGCTTCCTAGACAGGCGCGTGTCGAAATTCCGGCTCCGCCGTCTTCTGTAGTGCGGAAGGCGCTACCATGCAAGACACTGCTTGTGCGACACGGCAATGCTCTTTTCAATCTCCTGCACCTCACGGGATCGCGCCCTGAGGAACTCCACGATGTCTATGCTCTCGTTGTTATCCATCTGCGGCAAAATACATGTTCCCTACAGCAGGTATTTCACGCCGCGGTCTGTGTCGGAGACATCCGCAAACTCTCAGCAGTAAACCTCTCCTCTCTGTTGGTGTCGAGATGTTGCTGGATGGCGTCGAGTGTGGGAGAGAGCAGCACGCGGGTTCGTGAGCCCAAAGCTGCAATAACACCGATGCTCGGGTGCTTGCACAGAAATTCAACCCGCAAGTTCGGGAACTCCTTCTGCATGCCGAGCATGACACAGGCGTCCCCACAGGCAAAATTTGTTGCAGCAGAACAGCCGAATGCTTTTGCCAGCATCTTCGTTTAAACAAATTTAGTATACAAGCGTTGACAGGCTGCACCCTGCTAGTTGCTCCCCAGACAGCATCTCAGACGCGTGGCACTAACGACGAGTCTGACAACGACGGGATCGCTTCGGAACCTGACCAGCTTTACTGCAGAATAACAAACATGCACACAAGGTAGTATGTTTTATACGGAGAGTTCTCACTTCATAATATAATATACAATATTAATATTATATACCTTAATATGGATAAACCAAAACACATATTCTATTTCTCGACACTCGGGATATTTTTCAAAACGTATACACATTATTCTGATTTTCAAATCAATTGTATTTGGAATGTATCTAAAATTGCCCGCATTATTGTTTCGTAAAAAGTATTGTATTCAATTTTTGAAATGTAAATATAAATTTTTCTTATACAGTCTTTCCTTGACTTACGAAGGGGTTACGTTCTTTCCGGAAGGTAACCCCATCGTAAATCGAAAATATCGCAAGTCGAAAATAAAAGTAAATAAATAAAACAAATAGGCTACACACAAGGTTATACGGTACGTAACCTAAGTTTTTTTCTGTCAGGGTAAACTATCAATAGAAAGACCTTTGTTTACCGTTTCTATCATCAGCTTCAGTTTTTATTTTATTGCTTTGCAATCCAGGTTTCACCAAGCTCTTTATAATGGAAGACTGAAAATTAGTCTTAGATAAGCTTTTATTATCAGGAATTAAATATCTAACTGTGGATAAATTTTGTTAAAATCACTGACGTTTTATTGGCATGGAAGACCATTTAAATTAATGAAACTTCCGAAAGCTTCGTTTATAAAAGCAAACTATTCAGGCCGTAAAATTCTAATTGAGGCAATAGTAGGCATTAATACTTATAAAAATACATATCAAACTTGCTTAGAACTGTATGCTTAGAAATACAGAAATTCAGTTATTAACCGAGTTTTTGATATGATTTCAATTTTGATGTATTATGGATAGATTTCAGAACAGTCATTAGCATTATTGCAGTTTCCGATAATCTGGACCCTACGCTTCTTACATATTTACAAAAATTTATACTAATACTTTTAAAATTACTATTCATTATTTAAAAAACCGTCAGGTAAAATTTTTTCCATGCAATTGCAAAAGTGATAATTTTTATTTTCTTAGATTGGTGAGAGCCCCAATAATTTTAATAATAGTCTCAAAATTATGCCTCTGAATATCAATAAAACAGGAAGTAAAATCTTACTTTTTTATTATAAATATATACATAATCGTTGAATTTATCAACGATTGTACTATAGCATTAAATTACTCCTATCCATCTCTGTAAAGGTGAAAAATAAAATTAATTCGAACTAAAAATATAAACTTTGATTTTTAAATCTAGAAACTGTATCGAAAGTAAAGATCAAACAAATACGCTAATTCGGCAAGGATTTTGGCCTTCTTATAACCGACCGTGAGTATCTTTTAATATATGGAAAAATGGTTAAATTTAACATAATCACGTTTCTATATTTGCAGTTATTATTCAAATATTTTTAATATGAGTGGATTTCCAAAACTGGCAAAGAAATACGGTGATTATTTCACCTATGACAGAGCACCACGAGCATTAATTTTCAAAAGAGATCAGGAAAAAGTTACCGATTTAAAGACAATGATAAATCTGATGAGGTTAATTTCTTATAATTTTATATTAAAATAGAAAATAAAATTTATTGCAAATTTAATTTTAATTTTAGATACAACAATTTCAAAAATGATCCACTTTCTCGTTGTAACTGTACTCCTCCGTATAGTGCTAATTATGCTATTGCTGCGCGTTTGGATCTCAATCCTCCAAATGGCACGTTTCCATTTCCTTCTTTAGAGAATGCGGCTTATGGATCAATTGACATGAAGGTAAATCTTTAAAACTGAACAGAGCATTTTCTATTAGTAACTTTAATATATTGATTATACTGTAAATGTTCGTCCGATGGAGAAATATTTTTAATAAAATTGAAGACAAAACTGTCCAAAAAGGTCACCATTTATTATTTTTTGTGTTCCAAGACTAACACATTCTCGGCGACTGACCTTTCTTTGTAGGCTGCTTGTCGCCGGAAAATTACAAAGAGTCCTTTTAAAAAACACAAAACACATCCAATTAAAATTACAAAAATTTCTGAAAAAGGAACTGATGACATACAGTTGTCCTGCTTACATCCTTCTATACCTTCTTTTGGGGGTTTTGGATGCTTTTTATCTATTAGAAATTGGTGCTGGAAAATGTAGACTTTTAGAAAAGCTGCCCCTGGTGACGATACATGTAGAAATTTCTTCTGTAAATGTTCGTCCGATGGAGACTCCCAAAAGAAGATATAGATGGATGTAAGCAGGACAACTGTATGTCACCAGTTCCTTTTTCAGAAATTTTTGTAATTTTAATCGGATGTGTTTTGTATTTTTTAAAAGGACTCTTTGTAATTTTCAGGCGACAAGCAGCCTACAAAGAAAGATCAGTCGCTGAGAATGTGTTAGTCTTGGAACACAAAAAATAATAAATAGTGATCCTTTTTGGACAGTTTTGTCTTCAATTTTATTAATAATGATTATATTTAAAATAATCTTAGCATTTTTTCATAAATCAAATTTTTAACTCTTGCTACCCACCAATTTTTAATGTTAATGTAATTAAACATAAAAAATACTTAAAACTGAAAAAAAACGAAAGAAATGCGTTAATTTTGAAGAAAAAGCTTCAAACTTTCTCTTCCATTGTCTCACCTTTCTGCGAAATTTGACACCAATGAGTCATTGTGCTTACAGCTGGATGACCTTGAGAACAGCTGGTATTGGATTTCCCGGGACATTCTCATAGAAGTCTCAGGAGGAGAAGGGTTTAAAGTAGGGTGAATATTAGCTGGCTGTATATTTTTAAATATTTTTCAAAATTACGTTTTTTATTGCGATTTCCGACCCCCGAGTTAATTAAACGTATATATAATAAAATATATTAATTTAAAAAATTAAAAAACCATTGGAGGTCGTTTTTGACATCAGAAACTAGCTTTAAATAACTTTACCAAAGTAAAATCCATGCACTACAACTTTAGAACGATTAATTAAATTTGATTAAAAAAATCCCATTAAAAACAATTAAGCGTTAATCATGCGTCATTAAAGATAGATTAAAATCGCGATAAAATTTTTTCGCGTGGGAAAAAATTTTTGAAAAAATTTGGAGACTTAAAAAACATCCAAAAATCCAAAAAAAAAAAATTTTCGGGGGTCCAAAACACTGTTTGTTTTGTAACGCTATGTAACCTTTCCGAGTTAACTCGGGATAAGGGCTTAAGGTGTATTAAAATTCAAATCAAAACCCAAATATATTTATAACAACAAAACTGTTTTTTTACACAAAAGAGATCAAGAAAAATTTCTGTAACTTAGATTTATTTTATTTCATAAGGGATTTTCTGTGAATTTTATGCTTTCCATTTTATAATGTAAGAGATGAATATGAATATTATTAAAATATCAAAAACAGCTCATGCGAAAATGAATCATTTTTTATAGCCATTATCTATTTTCCAAATAATTAAATTTAAATTATTTTATTATATTTTAATAATCTTTGAAAAGTATCGTAAATATAAGTACGTATTTAAAATGAATTATACATATTATACAACATTAATATATTACAATAAACTAGAACGAAATTATAGGCAGTTCTCGATATTCGCATAATTCAGTCTTTCTTATAAGATACTTTGATACCTCTTAATCCCTTCTTTGAGCCAAAATCTTTCTAATTTTACATATTTTCAGTTGATAAAAAAATTTCGAACCAGCGTGCGATAGCGTTTTTTTTTTCTGAATTTTTATTTCGGAAATAACTAAATCATTTATTAAAATTTATTTCATTGTCCGTTTTCTGTTTAATGTATTATATTCGTTTCAAATACTGTTCACTGTGAAAAAACTTTTCTGCATTGATAAGAAATTTTATGAATTTTCGTTTTAGTTCTGTTTGAAAAGAACACCTTTTACAACACACAATTGTATTGTTCAACTTCCGGCCAATCGACTTTCATGCACATTTAGGAACGCATTAAGTTCAATAGCTGGGAATTGCCTGCAATTTTTATTTATTTATTTTTAATTTTCTTTATTAAAACTTCTTATGTGAAAATTTTTTCAAGTTTCGGATTGGAGTGATGGAATGAGGCAACGTAACACATGGGCAATTTGCCAAGGGTGGTGCCTTCTGGGAAGATTTATACAGGAAATTGACCTCTATTTAGGTGTCAAACATGTGAAAAACCCCGGGAAAACTTCAAGTGGCCAACCCGTTAGTGAGACTCGAACCGGGACCATCCACCAATGTTAAATCAATTGGGTTTAGTTTTCGATATTTTTAAAAGTTAAATATTGTAATCTTCAATATAGCCTATTTGTTTATTAACCATATTGCCTCATAACTTTTTATGGATGATGACGTACGGGTCTTTGCTTCCCATTTTTTATTTATGCTATGTATATACTCATATGTATTAATTCATGCATATATTCATGTATATTCATAATATATTCATTACGAGTCTAACTCACTTCTTTGCTGATATACAAGGGCTTTTATGAGTATACATTCCTTTATACAATGACATTATATCATGAAAAAAGATATTGTACGTATATCCAACATTGTATAAGAGTAAAAATTAGACTGACCGTATATTATATTTAAAATTGTTTGTAAGATTGTTTAAAATGTTGAATTTAATTACTTTCAGCTGACGAGTTACTCTATGCAAAAGAACTACGAATTTATTGCATATTCTGGACCAACATTTGATCAACAACCGGTCTTCAAATGGAGTACAAGTATATTTTCATATATGCCTCATTCTGGTCATCCTGATGAATGGAAATTTGATCTTGTCCTTCATCACTGGTTACAATCACAATATTTTCATGTATTTACTAATAACTAAACAATTAACAATGAATATGGTTAGATGACTAGTCCATTTTTTTCAATAGTTTATTCGAATATTTCGTTTTATTATATTGTAAGTTAATTAAGATTTTTAAAATTATATTCACATTTTTTGTATTACTTTTAGAAATATTCTAGTTTTAAAGTTAATATTAAGATATTCTCTTACTGTTTTATTATATATTCAAGTCATTACTACAGCGTTTTTATTCAGACATTTAAATATACCATGAAAAGAAAAAGCATACATTTAATTTGAACTGATTGATGTTATAAAACTTGAATATTTACCGTATTTTTAACAAAAACTACAGTAATAGAATTATAAATAAAATTATGTTAAGATTACAAAGAATATTTTTACTGCAAAAATTCAGTTCTGAGATATTATATAAAAATACTTCAAAATATAAGAAATTATTCACTTACAAAATTATTAATATATAATTATTTGTAATTAAATTAATAAATTAAAGACAAATAATCTATCATAACAGCCGTTTCAATTCAGTAGTAAACTAGAGGTTTTGATTATCATGTAATTAAGTTATCTTAATATTTTAAATTATATCCTAAATATGTATAAATAATTTAAAACTTTTGTATTAAATATGATATGCTTATTTTGAAATTAACTATATTTTTACACGTCTTTTGTTATTATTTCTTAATTATGTTGATAAAATTATATTACATTTTTTAATTTTAAAATATAAATTTTTATGAAAAGATGCTTCAAATGCTTCAATTCAATTGATAAAATTAAATAAGCATTATTTAATCTAAACGTAACAAGCATAATAATTCTATTATTTTTACATAAACATGTAAAACTATGAAATCTCTTTTATACAAATGATTATACATTTCATAAACTATTTCATTAGAGTAAATATAACGACTTATTTTGTACACTAATTAATATAACATTGTACTTGTATATTTAGTAAATGCTAATTAGTGTTATCTTCAGGTTAAATCAGTAAGATGAATATCAGTGGCGTGCCGTCATTAGAAGCGGTGGAAGCGCCGCTTCCTTTGTATTTTATAAAAAATAAATACATATTAATTTTAATTATATGAAAATAATCGCACAATATTTTATTATAACCGCATTATGTATCTTATTACAAATTTTTATACTACACGTGAAAAAAATAAGATTGCTATTGTATATTCGAATATTAGTGGCAGAGTATAAGCNAATTATATTCACATTTTTTGTATTACTTTTAGAAATATTCTAGTTTTAAAGTTAATATTAAGATATTCTCTTACTGTTTTATTATATATTCAAGTCATTACTACAGCGTTTTTATTCAGACATTTAAATATACCATGAAAAGAAAAAGCATACATTTAATTTGAACTGATTGATGTTATAAAACTTGAATATTTACCGTATTTTTAACAAAAACTACAGTAATAGAATTATAAATAAAATTATGTTAAGATTACAAAGAATATTTTTACTGCAAAAATTCAGTTCTGAGATATTATATAAAAATACTTCAAAATATAAGAAATTATTCACTTACAAAATTATTAATATATAATTATTTGTAATTAAATTAATAAATTAAAGACAAATAATCTATCATAACAGCCGTTTCAATTCAGTAGTAAACTAGAGGTTTTGATTATCATGTAATTAAGTTATCTTAATATTTTAAATTATATCCTAAATATGTATAAATAATTTAAAACTTTTGTATTAAATATGATATGCTTATTTTGAAATTAACTATATTTTTACACGTCTTTTGTTATTATTTCTTAATTATGTTGATAAAATTATATTACATTTTTTAATTTTAAAATATAAATTTTTATGAAAAGATGCTTCAAATGCTTCAATTCAATTGATAAAATTAAATAAGCATTATTTAATCTAAACGTAACAAGCATAATAATTCTATTATTTTTACATAAACATGTAAAACTATGAAATCTCTTTTATACAAATGATTATACATTTCATAAACTATTTCATTAGAGTAAATATAACGACTTATTTTGTACACTAATTAATATAACATTGTACTTGTATATTTAGTAAATGCTAATTAGTGTTATCTTCAGGTTAAATCAGTAAGATGAATATCAGTGGCGTGCCGTCATTAGAAGCGGTGGAAGCGCCGCTTCCTTTGTATTTTATAAAAAATAAATACATATTAATTTTAATTATATGAAAATAATCGCACAATATTTTATTATAACCGCATTATGTATCTTATTACAAATTTTTATACTACACGTGAAAAAAATAAGATTGCTATTGTATATTCGAATATTAGTGGCAGACAATGGCGTGCCGTCATTAGAACCGTTGGAAGAGCCGCTTCTCTCGTATTCTCTAAAAAATAAATAAATATTAATTTTAATTATATGAAAATAATCGCACAATATTTTATTATAACCGCATTATGTATCTTATTACAAATTTTTATACTACACGTGAAAAAAATAAGATTGCTATTGTTATACAAAAGTATTGAAC